CTACTCACTCATCACCTGAAGGAGTTTTCTGGGGTGGGTGTGCTTTGCTCCTACACAGGTCATGGTGCTCTTACAATCCCATTATACCTTTGGTTTATGATATTTATGGGAGAAGAGGGAAGTGGTTTTGGGTGCCAAGTGGCTTGAGGCAGCTGGAAAACACAATGTAGAACTAGTCTTTGAGGCATCTTCTGGGGTGTCCTAAGCCTTGAAACCACGGGATTTTATGAAACAATTGAATTTGCAAGTCAGAACAAAGGAAACACTTTCAGCTCTAGACGTCTGCAGTGTGGACAAAGCTGTTGGTTTGGACTTTGCATCTGAGCTGTTTTCTAGGAGACCAAAGGTACAACTGGGGAACTAAGTGCTGTATTGATGGAAAACTTGGCTTATTGCCTCTCTGCACCACAAATTTGTTCACAAATTTACTCACTATTGTAATGACTTGAAACTCACAGGAGATTTTTGTTGGGAATATACTATTAAAAACTCAATTTTAAAGCAAATGTTGAGGTTGTGCTCAGTGTCTATTCCAAAGGACCTTGCAGCTTCTCAAACCTCCTCATCAGATGAGGTTTCTTGTGCTGATGGACAGTTTTTTCCAAGCTAAAACTGAGCCACAAACTCTCTGTGGTTGCACTGCAAAGGGTTTTTGCAGAGTTCTGAGGGAATGACCAAGGACCTGAGGGTCAGGATGTGCTTTAAAGGTTACACAGCTCCATATAGCTAGGGCTGGGTTGGGGTTGAAACCAGTCAGATGAGTCTTTGTCCTGTAAATTCCAGGCTTCTCCTGTTGAAAAACACATATATTTGGGTGTTTTCTGCCATTCACCACTTTGTTTCCTTGCAGGATTCATGAATAAGATTTTCCATCCCAACATTGATGAAGCGTAAGTAAAGCTCCACTTCATGTCTTGGCTGAAATCCTTCACCACTGAAGGGATTTTGCCCCTTTTTTTTGTTTTTGTTAAGAGGAGTTGCCTGTGCTTCAGCTTCAGGAAAAGCTCCAGTTCATTTCCTGCTGTGCAGAGGATGAAGATCGATGTAGTTTGTAGAATCATCAGGGTTGGAAGAAACCTCTAAGGTTGTCAAGTCCAACCATTAATCTGTCACTGCTGAAATCTCTAAAACCTTCCAGTGCCACAATCAGTCCCCTCTCAAACACCTCCAGGGATGTGACTCCACCACCTCCCTGAGCAGTTCTCTCATCAGTAAAGATGTTAAACAGGACCTGCCCCAACCCTGAGCCCTGGTGAGCAGCACCAGTGACTGTTCCCAGCTGGATTTAGCTCCACTGCCCACAACTCTCTGGGCCCTCAGCCGGTTTTTACCCGGGAGAAGAGTCCACCCAGCCAAGCCATGAGCAGCCAGGTGTTCTACAAGCATAAAAGTTAAAGGAAGTCTATAGTTAAAGGCTTCTGCTCTACTAACCACAACTGGGAGTAACTCGTGGCTTAGCCAAAAGCTTGGGGAAGGGGTTGGGAAGGGAGGGAGTAGGTTATATTTGCCCTGCAGTTGTGTGACTGTGTTTAATTCCATCCTTTCCATCTGTTTCAGGTCAGGAACTGTATGTCTAGATGTAATCAATCAGACTTGGACAGCTCTCTACGGTGAGTTGGGTGTTTGCCTCAGAGCTGATCACTTCTCTGCTGCTGTATGAGCTGCAGACAGATGAGCTCAGGCCACCTCTGGGGTTGGTTTTATTGCTTTGGGGGTTTGATTGAAGTTTTAGACTCCACTGAGCCAAGAGCAAGTGAAAAATAAGCTTTCGTTGGAGGTTAGGAGGTGACATTGCATCTAATGACTTCACTGCTTGTTGCACAATGGTTTGGGTTTCCCATTGGGTCATTTTTGGTTGTAACTCTCCTTGTTAGAGATGCAAAAAGATAAGTGGGAGCTGCAAACCCATTGAAGTAGCATTTAGGGAAAGCTGAAATGGTTAGGAGGAACTCAGGGGAGTGCTTGGTCTAGGGTTGCTGCATTCTAAAGTCTAAACTTCTTCAGATATTCTTTGTCGAAGAGTTTCCAGGGGAATGTGCACATCAAATCCCTCAAGTTCTTCCAGGAGAAACTGATTTTAGCATTGTAAGTTGAAGCTTTGAAGCAGTTGCTGGAGGGACAAATTACTTCACCTTCCTCCCAAGGAAGGAAACACCAGATTTGGTGAATCCTGGGTAGGAAATGGCTAAAGCAGCTGGTTGAACTCCTATCAGAATGGCTGAATTCCTCATGTATGAGGATCACAACATGGTTTTGTTGGGAGAAATCAGCCTAGCCATGATCCAGGTGGTGTTGCTGATGGAGGAGGAGGATGTTCTTGTGTCCTGGGAGGATCTGATGCTTTGTGGAAGAGTTGCACATCGAATCCCTCAAGTTCTTCCAGGCAAAACTGATTTTAGCTGTGTAAGTTGAAGCTTTGAAGCAGTTGCTGAAGGGACAAAATACTTCACCTTCCTCATAAACACAGTTTGTAAGGAAACAGTCAATGGTCAAAAGTCCTCATGTATGAGGGTCACAACATGGGCAGGGACCCTTTCCATGGGTGGAGACCCTTTCCATGAAGCATAAGACATTTAAAGACAGTAACAGAAGGAGGCAGAAGCAAAGGATCCAGTGAGGGATGAAACACAACACGGTTTGGTTTCCTTTGTCCCATCCGTCGTGTCCATCCACTCCTTTGCTTAACCCACACATATCTGTGTGTACATTGCTGACACCTCAGGTAGTTTGGGCAGTAGCTGAGGAGCTGCAGCAGCTCCTTGAGCTGTGCTTTCCCTGCTGCCATTCCCTTTCTTCCCCATCACTCCCAGGTTCTCAGCACATTTCTTCTCAAAGCTTTGTGCTGCTGTTAGAGGTGATTTATGGGGCTACGTCTGGATCTGTGGACTTGACCCACTTTATCTTTGCCTTGCAGATCTCACCAATATATTTGAGTCGTTCCTGCCTCAGCTGTTGGCCTATCCCAACCCTATAGATCCTCTAAATGGTGACGCTGCAGCCATGTACCTCCACCGACCAGAAGAGTACAAACAGAAAATCAAAGGTAACCCCAGCAACCCATGGCAGCAGCACTGGTGCCACTGGGATCCCACTGAGGGCTGCAAATCTGGGGTATCCCAACCCATTCCTTCCCTTTCCAGGGGCTCCTGCCAGTTGAAATGAGGGTGATGGGAAGGGGTGTGTGAAGTGATGCTGTGGTTGAAATGAGCAGCAGATCCTAAGCAGGGTAGGAAAACAGGGTTAGGATTTGATGTGATTTTTTTTTTTTTGGAGATGGGGAGAAAAAGCTTGGGAGAAAAGGTCTGTGGCCAAAGAAAGCACAGGAAAAATGCTAATCCAAAACAGGAGCATCCAGTGGCACAGATATCCCAGTGGATAGAGAGTGTCTTGTTGGCAGCTCTATAGAAGGTGATCTGAGAGCAGTGATCCAGGAGTCAGTGCTGCTGATGTGACACAGCAGGCATTGTTGGGAAATGCCAAGAAA